CAGGAAAAGTCTGTGAGACTCTTTTTTTTTTTTTGGTCGGTCGTGGGGCTTGAACTCTGGGCTTGGGCGCTGTCTTTGTGCTCTTCAGCTCAAGGCGAGCGCTCTACCGCTTGAGCCACAGCACCACTTTCGGTTTTCTAGCCGTTTATTGGAGATAAGAGTGTCACGAACTTTCCTGCCTGGGCTGGCTTTGAACCGAGATCCCCAGATCTCAGCCTCCTCAGTAGCTAGGATTAGAGGCGTGAACCACCTGCGCCCTGCTCTGTGAGACTCTAATCTCCAATTAACCACCAAAGCGCATGAAGTAGAGTTGTGGCTCGAGTGGTAGAGTGCTAGCCTTGAGCAAAAAAAGCTCAGAGACAGCACCTAGGCCCCAATAAACCACTCAGAAAACCGGAAGTGGCTCAAGTGGTAGAGCACTGGACTTGAGCTGAAGAGCTGAGGGACAGTGCCAGGCCGAGTTCAAGCCCCATGACGGACAAAAAAAGAAAAGAAAGGAAGGAAGGAAGGGGAAAAGGGCAGATAGCAAACTCCCAGGAAATACTCTGTCCCCATCAAGTAGGTAATAGTTATCAAAATTCTCTTCATATGAGCTGGGAAGGTGGCTTAGTAGTAGTGTTTGTTTAGCATGCATGAAGCCCTGGCTTAGATTCCCCATCACCACATAAACAGAAAAAGCCAGAAGAGGCACTTTGACTCAAATAGTAGAACAATAGCCTTGAGCACAAAGTGGCCCAAGGACAGCAAAACAAAAAAATTCTCTTCATCTTTTGTGTGTGTGTGCATGTGCTAATCCTGGGGCTTGAACTCAGGGCCTAGGCACTGTCCCTGAGCTTTCTGGCTACCACTTTACCCCTTGAGCCACAGCTCCATCTCCAGTTTTGTTTGATGGTTAATTGGAGATAACTCTCACAGACTTTCTTGCATAGGCTGGCTTCAAATCTCAATCCTCAGATCTCAGCTTCCTGAGTGCATACAGGCATGAGCCATGGGTGCACCGCCCTCTTTACCTTTATATGGAATTGAAAAATAGTTATAAGTAGATCCATCTTTTAAATGGCTTTGTTTTGTGCTGGTCCTGGGGCTTGATTGAATTTGGGGCCTAGGTGCTGTCCCTGAGATTTTTTTGCTCAAGGCTGGCACTCTACCACTCGAGCTACAACTCTACTTCATGAGCTTTGGTGGTTAATTGGAGATAAGAGTCTCACACTTTCCTGCCCAGGCTGGCTTTGAACTGGGAGCCTCAGATCTCAGCCTCCTGAGTAGCCAGGATTATAGATGTGAGCAATTGGCACCTGGCACAATTTTCATCTTTTATTTATTTATTTTTGGTCGTGGGGCTTGAACTCTGGGCTTGTGCACTGTCCCTGCACTCTTCAGCTCAAGGCCAGCACTCTACTGCTTGAGCCATGGCACCACTTCCAGTTCTCTGGTGGTTTACTGGAGATAAAGAGTCTCACGGACTTTCCTGCTCGGGCTGGCTTTGAATCCTGATCCTCAGATCTCAGCCTCCTGAGTAGCTAGGATTACAGGTGTAAGCCACTGACACCCGGCTACAATTTCCATCTTTTAATCACCATAGAATTGGAATTCTGGTGTTGATTTCAGGGTTAGGAATGAGGCTTAGTGGTAGAGTGCTTGCCTAGAATGCATGAAGCCCTGGGTTTGATTCCTCAGTACAATTTAAACAGAAAAAGCTGGAAATGGCACTGTGGCTCAAGTGGTAGAGTGTTAGCTTTGAGAAAAAGAAGCTCAGGGACAGTGCCCAGGACTGGCAAACAAAACAAAATGGACCAGGAAAGCCAGTACGTAATATATGTTAAACAACCCTGGCCTAGAAATCAAACTGTTCCCAAGCCTAAAATTTTCTATTTGACACAAATAGAAAATTCCACAGCAGATTTCATGTGAGGTGACACAGCCAAAATACAGATGAACTGAACATTCTGTATAAAATTAGTCAAGTGCAGCCAGGTGCCAGTGGCTCACGCCTGTAATCCTAGCTACTCAGGAGGCTGAGAACTGAGGATCACGGTTCAAAGCCAGCCTGGGCAGGAAAGTCCATGAGACTCTTATCTCCAATAAACTACTAGAAAATCAGAAGTGGCGCTGTGGTTCAAGCTGTAGAGCACTCACCTTGAGCTGAGGAGCTGAGGGATAGCGCCCAAGCCCATTCAAGTCCCATGACCGACAAAAAAATAAAAAAATAAAATAAGTCAAGAGCAAGCACATGTGTCTGTGGTCCCAGCTACTTTGGAAACTAAGGTAAAAATTACTTGAGCTCAACAGTTAGAGATCAGCCAGGTAGCAGTGACTCATGCCAGCAATCCTAACTACTCAGGAGGCTGAGATCTGAGAATCTTGGATCAAAGCCAGATGGAGCAGGAAAGTCTGTAAGACTCATCTCTACTAAACTACCAGAAATGCCATAAGTGGTAGAGCTCTAGCCTTGAGAAAAAAAAAGGACCTCAGGGGGACAATGCACAGGTCCTGAGTTTGAGCCCCAGGACCAGCACCAAGAAAAAAAAGTTAGGGCTGGGAAGGTGGCTCAGTGGTAGAGCGCTTGCCTTGCATGCCTAAGGCCCTGGGTTCGATTCCTCAGCACCACATAAGCAAAAAGAAAAAAGCCGGAAGTGGCGCTGTGGCTCAAGTGGTAGAGCGCTAGCCTTG